GGTGGGGCACTCACGAGACCTGTCGAGACATGTCACAGCAGGCACAGACCTGTTGCTCATCCCTTTCATATTCAGGTAGATGACTTATCGAGTGGCCCTCGTACCTGTAATCATAGTTCAAATATAATTGATTGTAACGACAATTACTGCATCATTATTTCTGGATCCGAGATTGTTTCTTGGAAGCAGGTTTCAGAGGCCTCAAAAATGAAATCCGACGAGGGAAAGGCAGTCTTTAGAGGGAAGACCGGCGTGGGATTCCATGATTTGAGGTCGTTGATCGAACGATGAATGAATGCTCGTTTCGTCCTTCGGGGAAAAGGAAATCCAGAATGAAATTTTTTTTTGGAGGGTGAAGATGTGAATTCCATTCGTGATTCGATGGAAAGCGGATTGTATTTATTTTTAGAACCCAGGAGACGTTACGGCCATATCCCGCCGCATGGAAGCGAATTTCAATCGGAAAAGGGAATCGAACAGGTTCTGAATGAAAACTCCACTCGAGAGCGAAGGGGGAAAAAAATGTTCAACTCGTTCGAGTTCGTTGAGAATCGTTGGCTCGTTTTTCCTCCTCGAAGGAGCAGCGTGCTCGAGACGCGTGCCCTTCGTCCTTTCAATCGATTATTAATAATGGTCTTCGTCGATCCGTGTTGTCTTCGTCGGCACGAGACGGTCGGGAGCGGCTGAGGCACGAAGTTCGTCGTGTGCTCGTGTCCAAAAGGGCATTACGGAGATGAAAGATTTTAACATGGGCTTTTAGGGGGGGAATGGGGAATGAATGGGAGACGAATCGAGGGCGAATAGAGATGAATAGAGACGAATAGGGGATGGCTTCCGGCGACGATCACCGGGAGAAGTGTGCCCAGGCCAGAGTGGGTACAGATTGTTTTGATTGAGAGAGAAAACAGAGGAGATCGAGACGCAATAAGTATCGAAAGTGTTCGCATGCTGAACGTGGGAAGCTTTTCTGGCTTTAAAGCGCGTATCATTTCGCGTTCGACAGCACGGTGTCATCGGGTCTGAATTCCCTGGCGGCCATCACGTTGGAGGACTTCGTGCGTCCGTATTGCTTCAAGGGGATCACGAGCAAACAGGCGGCGAATGCCTCCAAGGTCATTTCCCTCGCTTACGGCCTCGTCTCCTTCGGGCTCGTTTTCGTCGTCGAGAGATTCGGGACCGGCGTCCTCACCGTAAGTGGTCAGGTGTTACCGTCGTCGGTGCCGTGCGGGTGGGATACTGAGCGATGGGGTGTTTCTTTGCAGGCGGCACTGAGCATCTTCGGCATGATCGGGGGGCCTCTTCTCGGCCTTTTCACTCTGGGCATGTTCTTTCCCTGGGCCAACAACAAGGTGAGGGGTACATTTTATTCTTTATTCGCTCGAACGTTGAAAGTAGATTGCCTTCAAAAACGATTGTCTTTGGAGATTTGAGAATGGATATCATGAAAGGAATCTCGTGGAATCCGGCCTAGAGATTCGTTCTGACGAGAATCATGCTGTTAGATTCTCCCGGTGAAACCCGCCCTTGTCATTCTTACTTTTGCGCTCCTCTAGGGATCTCTGATAGGAGGAATCTTGGGATTCATCTTCGTTTTCTGGATCGGAGTGGGCGCGAACGTCGCGGCAGCTACGGGCAGACTAAGCTTCCCCCAGAAGCCGCTGTCCGTCGAGGGCTGCCTTTACCTGAATGCCACGGAGGCACCCATGCCCTCCTCCACGCTCTCGCCCGATCTGGAGCCGCTGGGGCTCTACCGGCTCTCGTATCTGTGGTACTCGACGGTCGGGTGCTGGAGCGTGATCGCGATCGGGCTCGTGGTCAGCTGGGCGACGGGGATGCAGGATCCGAGGAAGCTCAATCCCAATCTCGTCTCTCCGATCTTTCATTACTTGAGGAAGAAACTTCCGGAAGATTTGGTCTCCAAGCTGAAACTCGACATCGGCGACGATTACGTGAGTCGATCGTCCCGTGCTTCTCACCCTCGATGCGAACAGTCGACTCAAATCCGCGGCGCTTCGGAACGGGACAAACACCTAACGGAATCGTCAGTCCAAGCGTAACAGCCCTGCTGAAAAAACTTCACGAGGTCTCGTTTAAAAAAAACTTCACGTGTCTGTGAGGTCATTCAACTTTTCCTTTTACCTATTGCAGTAATGCTTCCTAGTCATTTCTCCATTTGACCTTTTTCTGCCATATCTGTTAAATGAAAAGTAGAGTTATGGTCGTAATCTCAATTACTGTCTCTTGTGGCTGTAGGCCTTGGCAAAGGATCTATTCTTTTCGTTGTAGGGATAGGCCTCAAATACGGAAAACTGCTTAATGTCAGGTGTCCATGGTTGAAGGCCAAGTCCCAGGTCTCGTTTCGATCTGAAAATGACATACTAATTGTCCTTGACGATGAACGAAACTTGAATTCTGATGAGTGAGCCATCATAAGTCAGTCTTAACGCCAGGTCTACAGACCAAACCTATGGGACTACAACTCCAGCACGAGTAGATTTCAAAAGCTTCAGGCCTATGGCAAAACTAATGCACGGCAACACGGAGGACTGACAGTAAAACCAGGATAACGAGGCTAGATGAACCGACCCCGGAAATTTCAAGCCACGGATCGAACGACCGAATCGACTTCGCGTGCAGGCCAAGGGGCCAATGGCCTGGGTCTCAAGGGGCCAATGGCCTGGGTCTCACGGGGCCAATGGCCTGGGTCTCGCACGGCGAGGGCAATCACCTCCTCCAATCACCACCTCCTCGATGCGCGCCTTTGACGCTGTACTGTCTTCTTCTGCGGGTTCCGCACCTTTGCGATGCGGGTAGGATGCGCCAGACGCAAACAGAAAGGGAGCTTGGATATCTGCTAATGAAGTTCTATACTGGGGTTATTTAATGCAATTGCCATTCGCCTCGATGCATCTCCAAGTTATCACCGAATCGGTCCCGAAGTTCCGACTAGTACATGACAACTACCACTCCGGTATACGAAAACTTTGTTCTTGTGAACCGGCTGAAGTAGACCGACCGTTAGCTGCATATTATTAGCATTTCTTTTAAGAGTACTTCGGTACTAGTAACGAAAAAGAATCCCTTCTAGTTCTAAGACAGGGGAGTACTCACAACGAAAGTAGAGTTCAAATAGTTCAAATGCTAAATTCTTAGCCAAATGGGACGACAATACGTGAACCGAGTACGTGGCAGGCGCAAAGGAAATAATTGGATGAAGTCCAATTATTTCCTTGACAAACTCCCGAAACGAAACAATGATATGTTTTTTAAATTAGCCCCCCACATTCGGTGATATTCCTTGATTCCCACGTGCACTCTCACGAATGCGAAGTGAGACCTCACAAATTCCTCACGAGACCGCATGCTATTCTCATGCTACCACACTTCCCCTCGGTGAGATCTCGAGCAGGACCTCATAAAGACATGATATCACACGAGATCTTATGAGATCTCATGAGGGTTTTTCAGCAGGGAGTAACCGAAGCAAGAAATGAAACTCCGTCCGTAGCAAAAAATCCAATAACGAAATTCCTTTCGGATGATTCTGTCACGATGACGACCTTTGTCTTTCCTGCATTTCCAAACTTCCAGATTTAATCACTCTTTTGAGGTCGTGTGAAGATTCGAACGTCTTTCACTTTTTTTTTGCCACCCTGTATAATTAAAAAAATTGGGGAGACGTATTCCATCTCCTTAAATTTCCTTTCACCTGTTCCACTTTTTTTTTAAACATGCCTTCTGCGCCTGTTTTGAAGGACCCATTATCGGCCGGGACGGCCGGGCTGGTGAATTCCTCGCGGGTTTCCACGGGGACAAATTTCGCCGGGGAGACGAACGTGGCCTGCGAACCCGACATGGACAAGGTCCTCGACGAGAAAAACATTTTCAAGACCAAAGAGCAAATCGGGCTTAATGTCATCGATGCCTCGGACGCCTGAGGGAGGGAAACCGTTCCTCGTTTGTGTTTTTTAACCGATCTGCCGAGTGACTGAAGGAAAAATGCGATATTTTTCTTGAATTTATCGCGACGGCGTGGATGAATTCTTTATTTGGAATAACAAGACGTATCATACCGTTTTCGTCTTCGCAATAAACTGCTTATTACCTCTGTGAGATTTTTCCTGTGTGATTTTGCGGATTTGGAGTCATCAGCACCCAATAATAATAAAAATATGCGCACTCCTCCGCAGATGCCAATTTCTTCTGATATTAGGAACGATCGGACGTTTCCATATTCAATATTCAAAACTCATTCAAGGGTATTTACATTCTTATTCATCATACTATGCAAAATAGTGCATACAACATTGCGTCAGTTCTAATAATAAACCATTGAAACACAAAAATTCATGGTGTAGCTATAATTTTGACCACCGCTGTTCACTTAGTAAGACTAACGGGTGTGGGACCCATGTGGGACCTGTGTGGGACCCGTGTGGGACCCGTGTGGGACCCACATGAACTCCGACTATCGAGTGGAACTTTAAGGGTTGCCAGAAAAGAGGCACGCCAGGTTATGATTATCCATGAATGATCCGCAAAAGGCCGTCCAAGGACAACGTCGCTATAGAAACGCGATGACGCTTATGAGATGCTGACGGGGGAAAAATGGGAGCAGGAGGGAAAGAAATCATTTAATTCTATCAGACCTCATCAGGGTCGCCTGATGGAGACCTAATAGACTCGATTATCGCCCTTGTGTCTTCCCTCAGCTGCGGTGGGATCCGATGCCTGAAACAACTTTCTTCTCCCTTCAACCTTCCTCACCCTTCAATGTCCTTCCCCCGTCCATTAGCGATCGCTTCTCTGCATCTGACACTACGATGCGTTCTGAGGATTTCTCTCTTTTTTTTTTTGCTGTCCTCTCGATGGTGAGGACCTGAAATGGCAGGCCGTGAGTGCGAGAGGGCAACGGTGATTTCTTCCTCAAAATCGGTCCTGTGATTTTTGCCTGGATATATATCCATTTGATATTACAAGAACCAGTACTTTTCGGTACCTTCCGTACCCCTTCCCCTCCCTTGACCTCGCAGGGGTCAGGTCATCTGGTCTCTTGGGTCGGCTTACTTTCAATCCGTTTGGGAGTCGACTGGCAGTAGGTCATGAAGCATCCACGCTGGGTCGTCTCGTCGACAATTCCAGTCGATCATCCGCCGACGAGGTCAATCTGTATCCATCTAGTGGAGACGGCGGGAACTATAACACAACTTGGCGACTGGAGAGGGGGTGGGCCGGTTCTAAAACCTCACTGGTTTTAGAACGTTAGTGGGTGGTCGAGAGGGTTCTTCATGGGTTTGCATTTTAGGGCTAAGGCCTGTCGATATTAGAAATGTTCACTAGACCCATGGTTTGTTGTTCCCTTCATTAGTCCAAGGTTGCCGAGAATGCCTTCTGTTTAGGCGTAGTTTTAGTTATTAGATTTAAACGGAATGATTTCTCGCTGAAAACTTCGACTCCAAATCTCGAAATCCCTTTGTCAATGAAAATTTCCCAGTCAATCTTGGACCTACAGACATCTCTCTCAGGAGCAGCACTTTCCCTGATCTGCAATCTGCGATCTTTCGTCGTGCTGATTTAGATCATCGTGTCGACAATCCGCGGATCTATGGCATACCCTCGCCGCGCATGATCCCAAAGACATTAAAATCCCGAGTCAAATGAAGTCGATTCAGTCTCACTCTTCTCTATCTCGAGGTACGCCAAGCATGTGAGGAAACGCCGCCACCCAGACGCCCTCGAACCCACGAGTGGATCTCGCTCGGAGCACAGAAGCAAGCGGAAGGAGGACGCAGCGGTTGACACCGCGAGAGAAGGAAGGAGCGAGGACGATCTCAGTCTGCGATTGACCCCCGCCCGAGTCGCATCTCTCTCTCTCTCTCTCTCTCTCTCTCTCGCTCTCGTCATGGATGAAGATGAAACTGCCACGACTGCTTCCCAGGCCTTCATCGACTTGGAAATGCTTCAAAAGGAGTTCCGCTGGCCGGACTATCTCGTGTTTTCCCTCCTTTTGGCCATCTCCGCCGCCATCGGGATCTTCTACGGAGTCTTCCAAAAGCAGGATAGTGCCGAGGACTTCCTCATGGCCGGGCGATCCATGGGAACCTTCCCCATGGCCATGTCCCTCGTCGGAAGGTATATTCTCTCATTTCCATTTTTTTTTTTTATTTTCGATATGGTTGACTGAAAAGGGGAGAGTGCGTCTTGCGGTTTGAAGCAAGGAGTGTGCTTTTTTTATACTTACAGTTAATTGCTGCTTGGCTCCCGAGGGGCACGGGTATTAAGATGTTAAGACACAATACTTTTTTACTCTATAAAGCCCTAAAAATCTCCTGCTCGGGCTAACATAATCCGTGGATAAATAAATAATATTACAAATTGCGTATAAGGCGCCTTTTGCCCGAGGCATCCGAAGGCAGCCTTGCAGAACCCCCCCCCCCCCAAGAAGCAATCCTCCCTTGAACTCCCTCCCTTCCATCGCGACGGCAACTCGGGGCAGGACCACTCTTCCAAAATCACGTGGACATCGCAATCCGGCATTAACACTTTCCACTCTGGTAAGCTGCTGGCAGCTCCTCCAGCTTTGGTCGTTTTTGCGGCTAATTGCCCGCACAACGCATGCCACGTCAAAACACGGAAAACGCAAAAGGAACGGAAACAAGCTCTTGATTAAATTCCGTTCGATTAACTAACTAACGTTACTAATTATTATCATTAATATTATCTTATGATTAATATTACCTAATTATTAATATTACATTATGATTAATATTATTTACTTATTTTTATTAACTTATTATTAATCAACAACAGAGGGGAAAGAGTTTAGGAAATCCAGAAGTTTTAGAATAATTTCAGTATTCCCTCTTTCATGTACGTCTACGTGATCTTCTACGTGATCTTCTACGTGATCTTCTACGTGATCTTCTAATCTTCTGATCTGATCGAAGAGCCATGGCAAAATTGAATGTTGTAACCATGACGAAGGATGAGGACAAATTATGGTTTCATCGGTGATAAAGTACATGGCATTGCTCGGTAGACCGTCCTAATCGATAAATACTCGGCAGGAATGAAAACGACATAGTTGACAGGAGTTATATCCAGCTAAAGGACGAATGGGGGAAAAAAAAAAATCTGGAACGACTGTATGCCGGACCCATGAAATTTCATTTAAGGCGCTTCAAGCTAGAACTTCGATATAAAGGCATAAGCGCATTCGCGCGCTCTGGGCATGTCCTCTCAGCTCCGCCTCATCTGGGATCATCCGTAGATCATCCACTTGTTGCAGCCGAAGTTTCGAGATTAAGTCGCGACTCAACTTCTGCGGAAACTCGCGGAATGGCGCTCGCCGATGTCCATTTCCAGAGTAAGTTACGACTTAAATTGGCCACAACGGCACGGGAGAGAATATCCCTGAAGATGTTTGCGAAGAGAAAGACCGTTCCGACCGTTCCGACCGTTCCGACCGTTCCGACCGTTCCGACCGTTCCGATAATCCTCGGCAAAGCCCCCTCTTAACTCCTGAACTAAGCGGTAAGTTCCTAAGCTCTTCGAAGGAATCCACGAGAAACCGTGGAATTCCGTTCGTGGGAACGGCATGGTCTTCGTATGCACCACCGAGGATACCCTGCTGGTGCTTCTCGCCCTCAGAATCGAGGCTTGAGATAGGGGAAAGAATCGCTTCCCATTACGGAATCGATTATCGATAATCGAGTTCCATCGAGGCGGAATGGAACCGACCGACGGCAGGTGACGACGACACGCTATTATATCATTGTCCGAGCTCTGAATAACGCGGCAAACACCATTCCTCGGCTGAATTTTTCTTCCCTCTGGGATGGCTGGCCGAATTCGAGTTCTTCTCGTTCGTTCTCGACCAGAGTCGTCAGCACCGACCAATTAGGTTTCGAGGGTCAAACATGGGGAAATTTCAGAAGTCTTCCTGCCGAGTTTCCCTTCGGGAAAATCGAGACCGCCAGCCGGGAACACGCCCGAACCTCCTCTCCCGATCCCCCCTTCGTTCGTGACG